ATCCCACAACCTCCTGCAAATGGGAACAGGATAAATTTGGGAAAAATACCTCATAACTGATAATGGAAACAGAATAAATTGGGGAAAAAAACCCCACAACTGCTAATGGGAATAAAATTGGGATGAAAATCCCACAACCTCCTGCTAATGGAAACAGGATAAATTGGGGAAAAAAATCCACAACCTCAACAAAATAAATTTGGGAAAAAAATCCTACAAGCTCCTGCAAATGGAAACAGAATAAATTGGGAAAAAATCCACTCAACTTCCTGCTAATGGAAACAGGATAAATTTGGGAAAAATCCCACAACTGCTAATGGGAACAGAATAAAATTGGGATAAAATCCCACAACCTCGTGCAAATGGAAACAGAATAAATTAGGAAAAAACCCCACAACTGCTAATGGGAACAGAATAAAATTGGGATAAAATCCCAACAACCCCCTGCTAATGGAAACAGGATAAATTTGGGAAAAATACCTCACAACTGATAATGGAAACAGAATAAATTGGGAAAAAACCCCCCACAATTGCTAATGGAAGCAGAATAAATTTGGGATAAAAATCCCACAAGCTCCGGCTAATGGGAACAGAATAAAGTTGGGAAAAAACCTTTATTTATTCCTGCTAATGGGAACAGAATAAATTTGGGAAAAATCCCACAACCGCAAATGGAAACAGAATAAATTTGGGATAAAATCCCACAACTTCCTGCTAATGGAAACAGGATAAATTTGGGGAAAACCCCTTTATTTGTTCCTGCTGCTCTTCCCCTCCAAGCAGCACCTGCTCCTTAAGGCCCAGCCCTAAACCCTGACCTGCTTTCAGGGTTGCAACCTCGGGAGCTTCCAAGGTGATCCCAGACTGGAGTGACCCGGGATGGGATCGATCCCTGAGCAAATCCCAACCCTCCCTCTGGGAAAAAAATCCCCTCCCCAGCCTGGCCGAGGGTTCTTTTCTGATTATTGGGGTTTTTTGGGGGGGGTTTCAGGTGTTGGGGTTTTTCTTTTGCTCAGCTGAAGGACAAGTTTTGGGATTTGTAAGAAGGTTTAGGTCAGGCTTTAGTTTGGGGGTCTGAGGTTCAGTTTAGGGTTCTGAGGTTTAGTTTAGGGCTTAGTTTGGGGGTCTGAGGTTCAGTTTAGGCTTTAGTTTGGGGGTCTGAGGCTCAGTTTAGGCTTTA